CAAAAACACCCACCTGATCACTCCGAATAAGCAATTAGATGGATCTTACAGAACATGTTTCACTTGTTGACCCCTGCTGCCACACGGAGGCTCAAGGAAAGTGCCTCATCTCTTCATCTAAATATACATCCTCGACTCTTCTATGACTGAAGACTGTCGTCTACTGAAAATAAAGTCCCTATCTTTACACTATCCCATTCCCAACATGAAGACCTATCAGGAATCCTGCATGGGTGGACATGTAGGCTTTCCTAGGAATGACAGGGTCTGCTAAAGAGGAACCCCACCCTCGCTTTCTCCGGCATGCCAACACAGAGGAGAGTGGGCAGCTCTGAGACGGCAGCCTGCCGTGGGCACTGCCAGGCTTAAAGCTGCCCTGTCGTCATCAGAGGCTTGCAGAAAAGAACGCTGAGATACACCAAAAAAAAAAAAAAGAAAAAAAAGAGGAGGGGGATCGGTTCATTTAAATCCTCTCTCAACGCCCCCACATGTTTTAGCAAAGCATAAAAATCATTCACAGAGAGAGAGAAAGCGAAAGAGAAAAAGATAGAGGGAAATAGAGAGGAAACAGCTATTAGCAGCAGTAAGCAAGCTCAAGAGATCATAGTGAGGCAGCTCTAATCGCAGTAATGGTTTAAACCCTCATTCCATCCACCAGATGCAAGAAATGTCTACCTAAAAACAAGGCTTTGAAATCCCCCGTGTCTAAGAATGTGCCCTGTGGCTACGGTCCTTACTGGAAAGAAAAAAAGAAAAACAACAACTCCAAAACTGTCTCTACTTTTGGAACAACTATGAGGTAAAGATAGCTCCCGTGGCCTGTGATGTTTACACCGACTACAGCGAGCAAAAACGAGCACACTTGTACCAAAATAAAGATTTTTTTTAATCTATATGTAGGTTACATTAAAGTCAGTGCTTTTAGCTTCGAAATCAGAAAAGAGAGGGCTTTTGTGGAAAGACATGAGAGCAAACTTTCTAAGATATGCTAATGTGTTTTTTTTGTTTATCATTTGTTGCTGAGTTTGCTTTGTTTTATTAACTGCTGTCTTTATGTCAAGGAAAATTGAACAAAGAGAAAATAAGTCATAACAAAGACATTATAAAGTTACAGTAGATGCATTATGAGAGGAATATGTATTGCATTGTGTAATCAGGGTGTTCACAAATTATATTAAAGACTCAATGAGGCACAGGGGAGTTTAAGAAGGTAGAAACCTCCTCTATGTAAAACCTAAACGTTCTTGATTTGTGCCAAAAGCTCACCTGAATGAGCTGCCGTGTAACCAGATATTTATAGAGCTCTTTAATCCTCTCTAGTTCAAAGGTCTTTGGTTATTTTTGGGAGTCTTAATTTTCAATATTCTTTTATTCTTTTCTTCAGGCAAAGCTTTATTTGAGGTTTTCTGTCCTTTTGCCAAGGTAACTGATTTCAACGTGAGAGCCGCAATAAATGTGAAAACTCATGCTGCTGCTGCTCCTTCATGAGAGAATAATTGTAAGAGCATTTAGGTGGTTGGATTATTAAGTATAGATCTGTAAAGGACAAGTTGTTGATGCTTCATTATGTTTAGCAACTTCTTTCAGCAGTTTATAAAAAAATCTACATTTTTATTGAGTCAATCAGAGATCAACAGTATTGGTGCTGCAGTCTTGTGTTATAAAGAATGTTTGTATAGGGAGCAGGAATTTACCAAAACACACAAGTTTGATAATGATCCGTGCTGAGCATTGTTTTGTTTGAGACCTGATTTTATAACTACACAGTTAGTTTCTTAAGATATCTATCTTGTGAATCTAGAACAAGTTGGTCCCAATTACAGCTTTAGCTCCTCACGCATGAAAGTTTTCAAAGTCACTTCATACAGCAGCAAAGCCTCAGTGCAGATCAAATAAGAGAGAGAGATTTGGAAAACTGGGAACATGATATGACAGCCGATGTTAACTCCAATGTTGTACCTGTTGTATACTTACAGTGGAAAGCTACTGTCTTAAGTTGTGCTCCAGGAGTTTTTTTTTTTTTTTTTTAAATAATCAGAATCATAGTTTGTCAGGAATCATTCACTTATTGTACATTGTAAGATCAATATGACACTTTTGTTTCTGTCTTTTTTGTTCATATTTAACTCTGAACTTAACAGATACGAAGAAAATGCATCAGAACATGAGACTAGAACAAAAGCTATGTTTTTTAAAATAAGAATCCATTTTCTCAACACACTTATCATGAGGTGTCTGTGCTATACAAGATTTATATTAAAAATACAGTAAAGAAAAGCTTTACTTGACATCTTCACAAATGACCCCTAATGACGTATAAATTACCTCATAAACCTTTTAAATTCTAATTGGACAGTAACGGTACCTTCTAGTTGATAAAGTAGCACTATCTAAAAAGGCAAAACCAATCTTATGTTTATATTGTAAAATCACGGGACAGTGTTTCAAAACCTCGAATGGGACATGAAGCAGATATAGTTCTTTATAAAAAGAGAGGAGCTAAAGAAAATAAAATAAAATGTAAAGTCTTTTAAAATATGCATGGTGACCTTCACTGATCTGTAATTTGTTTATCAGACTTAATGTCCAAAGTCATTTTGACTTCCTTCAAACTCTAAATGCTTCTGAGTATCATCAGGATTTCTAAAAATGCTTCATGACACACATGCCAGGCTTCACTTACGCAGAAGTTCAAGTGATGAATCGCTGCTCTGAAGTTTGAACACAGAAATCTGCAGTTTATGTGGCCCTTTGCTTTTGTTTTTGCTTTCGAGCACCTATTTAGAGGCGGGTTTACGGGCCTACTGCCCATTGCTATCCTTTACAATTACTCAGCAGGCACGCAGCCCGTCCCAGTAATAAAGTGGGTGTTGCAGTGGGTGGATTTGAGCATGAGCAGCCACTATTCTGTATTCCTACTACTGGATACATGAGCTGAGTGGCAGAGAATAGCAGCAGAACTGGCAGCATGGCAGGGTGACAGAAAGCGTGGTGGACCAGCGGACCAACCACAGAACCACAGGACACAATCTGATCCTTCAATATTGCCTTTATACTTATGTGTCGGGAGATATGGAGAATTACATTTGAAAGCCTAGTAAATAAAGTTTGTATTGATTTAATCCAACATGTAATCTGTTTTGCTGTCTGACACAGATTCTGGCAATAAAAGAGAATCATGTAAGACAGCATTATAGTTAATACGGCCATAGATCAAATGGAGTTTGGCGAAGAGAAGGGCAATAGATCATGTTCAAACTGGACTGCTTAGCTCTGGAATTCATAAAGTAGCTCCTAAATTGAGGTGGCTTTCAATTTAAGTTTTCAATTTACAGCTATAGGATTTGTTGTGCGTCTGATGTGATTTCATTGTCAACCTCAGGGGGGGTTCTGTGGATTGGGAACTGTAGCACTCTCAATCCCTTGCTCAACAATAAATCTACACTGAAAAATGATACACAATTTTTTTTTTTTTTTTTAGATAAATATCAGACAGATGATCATAATGACTCTGTGTTTGATATCTGACATGTCAAGAGGAATTACTATAAGAAGAACAATATACTATACAACATGTCATTAAAGACATCATGTACTGTTTATATTTCTCCTACACCCTGTTTTTCTTTTTATAACCTGCCATGGATTTTTAATACATTTAAATCAAATTCAACAAAAACACAAGATTAATTTATCTGACACTTCAACAAAACACTCTAAAATGACTTTCTACTTTGCCTTCAGCCAAACCCTCTCAATAAATAAATCACAGTTAGGAATCTATTTTAGTCTAAGGTTCATGGTATGGGTACCATAGTGATGTTTAGTTTTGTTTAAGTAATGTTTAGTTTTTACAACAAATGTTTCTACCAAAGAATAGAAGTTACAACACTTGTCCTCTAAAGCTTGCAGAGCTTTCTGTCATATCTGCTGAAAGCAATAACAGTAATGACACCAAACAGACAATAGAGATCTCTTCTCAGTATTTAACAGGGTTGGAAGATTTACGAGTCAAACTCAGTGACCGAAATAAGAACGACAGAAAGGTCCACTTTATAAATTATGGTTTAAACTGACTTTACCTTGTTGAAACACAAGTGTTGCTCGAGAGGCTTACAAGCGTGCTGTGCTAGCACCACCCTCTGGTGAAAAGGGCAATTACATCAGGAGTGTTGGCAGTAAGCACAGGTCATGAAGATTGATTGTGGCATAAGGGCCAAAGACTGAAGAAAAGCTGGATATTCATTTATTATATTAATGAATTCAAGTCTATTCTTTTTCACAATGTGGTGAACCATTTGTTTGATTTTACAATAATTTAGGACACATCTACTGTACTGTCAAATATGCAGCTTGGCTTAACTATGACTGCACTCTAGTGTTTCAAAGAAGCAGCTGCATGTTTGCCAGATAAAGCTTAAAAAGACATTCCCCACACAGAATGTTAAAAAAAAAGAAAAGAAACTCAAAAAACATCAGACTTCTTTGTCTGAGGTTTGAGGAATTGTATTTGCTCTATCTGTTGTAGGGAGAGTTGAGTATTTCCTTTTAAGTATGAAAGTAGCACAAAAGTTGATTTACTGTTTGAATTATTATAACTGCACACATCCACACAGGCCTAGAACAATTAAACTACTGGGACAGCCTAAAAAAACCCACATTAAAACAAACTGACCGTAAGTCAATTCATTAATAAGCCAAAGAGACACCAAATAGCCATTCATTTGGTTAATTAATTAATCCTTTAAGCAATATTAAAAGCAGAACTGAAAAAAATTGGCTAGTTTCAGCTTCTTAAATGAAAAGGTCATTAGTTATGGAAAACGGAGGGGAAGGCCATTTAGCTGTTGGTTTGAGTAATATGAAGTCACCACTATAAATAATGTCATGAGAATTATTGTATGACCTTTGAAATTTCCTTTAACCTTAATACCTTGATATTAGTCTTAAAAAAAAAAAAAAATACTGAACATATACACACACACACAAATACTCCTTACCTCGTCTGCTCCGGAGAAGTTAATCCGTGGGGCTTTCCAAAGTGTAGTGAGCTTCTTTCTGAGATCCTTTTGAACTATGAGGCATTTGTCAATCTCCAGGCCTGGATAGATCACCTCCAGTTCACCACTATGTTGAGGAGATAAAAAGAGGACACTCAGTCAACTCAAATTTTAAGAACATTCTGTATTGAGGTGAAAACAAACAAGCCCCTAAACATACAAAGTCAACTTGTTTTAAAAAGGTTCGGATACGACCCTGAGCAAATAAGGGTTTCAGCACAACACTGAGTGAGCAGACAGAGCTCCAGATCAAATTCTCCTGTCTTCGCCATGTTCATTTTCACTTGATCGCAGTAGAGCTGTGAGGCGTAATGGGCTACTTACAGACAGAAAGAAGAATCCAGACAGCTCAGGGTGTCTGCTGTTGCTTCCACATGATGAAACTCCAAAACAAAAGCACATAACACCAGGAACGGTGCCAGCACAGCCTGCAGAGCAGAATCGTTCAGTCAAGAAGATGTGATTTTCTACAGACAGATAAGTGATATTTAGAACATGTTGTTTTTTTTTATCTGTTTGGTTAAAATAGTATTTTGCCAAGCATTGACGTCCTGATTTAAGTGGAGGTAAAAGAAGCCTTGTCTTGCTGACTGATTTACAGAAACATCTTGTAATTTCACTTGGTGATTTTTTTAAAGAATGACAGTTCAACAGTAGCTTAAAATACATGTCAGTCATTTTTAAAAATGTGTAGTTTTGCTGGAAAAGTGAGTTTACTCCTCAGTGCTTCTATCTTAAAACAACTTGTAATTAAATTCATTATAAAGAATCTTTTTTAAAACCTTGTCATTTTATCTTTTGATTTAAATAGGCTACTTTAGAAATAAAGGTTCAATTTTCCAATGTTTCATCTGAACAACAGGAAATGTAATAATACAGAGTATAGGACAATACAAGAAAAGCAGGAGTCTTTGAAATCTACTGTTGACCCCTGCTGTCTACTGCCACATATTTGAGACTAAATTCTTAGTAGTGAAGAAAAACATGTTCTTATATGACGTCTTCATGTTGACACCTGCGGTCCATTCTTGGCCAATCAGAGCTTACTTTGACACCTGACTGCGCCTACACCTGTTTGACCAGCCTGACACATCAGCAGCACTACCCATGATTGTAAATAGCCTAGATGACGGCCACATTAAATTATTGTTTTTTCACATTGTAATTACAGTCAGCATCCACAGTACTTAAAGTGTGTGACACGCGGAGCTGCTAATGCCTCACTATGTAGACTAGATACAACGCGACGTCACAAGTGTACATTAATTAGCCTACTTATTAAACTTATCAGTGGTTGTATGAAATGGCACATCTTGTGAATACATTTTAAAAAAGAGCTTCTAATGCTCGCATTCGTTAACAGTAAGCCTAAACTGCAATCAGCTTGTTCATAATTTATTCGGTCTCAGTGTCGACACCGACGCAAGTTTAATAGGAATCCGTCGAGATCACAGAGCACAGAAGTTTAGAGTCTAAACATAGCTGAATACAAACTGCAGCCTTCGTTTTTTAACTGTATTGACTTGTGTTGACATTACCATATCTCAGTCAGAAATAGTCCACTTGTGTTGGGCTGCAGCAGGTTTCTTCTTCTGGTTCAGGCAGTGAACGACTGAGCTGTAAAAGTTTCATATGACACACACATGACTAATGAGCTTTTAATGAAGACTGGCGCGACAACTAGTGGACATGTTGCTCTTTTTTTATTTAGTAAATATTATGTACACATTTTCAAGAACACATGCTACAGAAATTCAGATACAGCTCCCAAACAATAAAAACAGCTCTTGGGAACAAAAACACCTGACGACCAAGGAAAATGTCATCTAGGCTTTAAACACTGAGAAAACGTTCAAGTTTTTTTCTTCTCATTTATTGTCTTTTTTTTTTTCTTATTTAATTTTCAACAATTTCTGAACAAGGCCGCTTAAACTATGCAGTAGTGATTGTGCAGCATATATTATATATTCCTGGTGCTGCTAAAGCTCCCTTTGGTTTGTGCTTCTTTGCAGCGGTGATGTTAGCACCCAAACATATGGAAAAGGGCCCCTGTGACAACTTCTTAGTAATTTATGATCCGATCTTTTTTTTTTTTTCTTTTTTTTTACCTGATGTTGTCTACTTGTGAAATAATGTTGCTGTACCATCTAATGCAATTTTGAATAGAACCCGGTGCTACAAAGCAGTGCAAGTTTGTAGTTTCAAAGTCAAACATGTCAGTATGCATAGTACAAAAACAGTATCTATGTTAAACGATGCAATAGCTTGTATCAACTGCAATTCCAAGTTTGAATTGTAAGTCATCACACAATTGTTATTTATATGTTTTAATTAAAATCTTACTTCCAATAGTCACACTGTCTCAGCACTTTTTTATGCAGACTTAAAAATTGGAGTACATTAGAATAAAGCAACTCTGAAATTATGAACAAATTCTTAATCCCTGCATTCATTTCATGGTTAATGTCACAAATTGATGGTTTGTTATTTAGTTAGTCTAGTATGGCCTTGATAATCAGAGTCTCTGTGAAGTTAATTGTTTACGGCTTTATGGAGACGTAAACCCTGCGCAATGTTAAACGCACATTCCTTGAATTCCTTCAAACCAAACATAGATTGCTTTACATCCAAATTATGGATTATGTACATTTACAAATACAGACACAATCTAGAGAGCACCATGGTAACTGAACATATAGCAAACAAACTAGTAACCACAGTAGCAATACTTTACATTCAATACCATACACTATACTGTACATTAAGGCATGAGGTGTTGTTGATGCAAAACGCCAGCAGAAGATTCACTAAGAAATGCAATGCACTGAGGAATGAAATGCATGTCTAGGAAATGTATCAGTAAAGTTGCCAAGGCAAATTAAAACAATATAGACCCTTCTGCTGTAACATTTAACAGTATTTTATGTGAAATCTAGATATTGTTTTTTAGTGTTTAAGTGGTCTTAATAGGGCCAAACCAGACAATACTTCTGGAGGCTCCTCTCTCTGCCTATTGTCTGACCATTTGAGTCGATGTAATCAATAAAGGTATTCAAAATGGCGTTATTAATGTTAACTTAGAAAAGGCCAAAAGTGTAATTTAGAGCAATTTAATGCTACAGCTTAGCAAACCAGCAACCCCGATGATCTACTGTATATGATACACAAGCAAGCAATTGTTGGTTTTTCACTTAACTGATTAATTCCACCTCGTGATTCTTAGCTCTTTTTAAGGCTTTAAATATAAGTCAAAAACAGGAGTGTTTAACCAATCATGTGCAGGATTTCTTTATCATATGCTGTAAAACAGATGCTGCAATCAGAATTAACTTTTAAAAAACAGTGGCATGTTTTATGGAGGAATCATAAGTCTTCATAATGTTATCTATATAAACACTTGTCTACTTCACTTGCTCTATAATCCTACTCTACTATGCGTCAACCGTTTGTTTGAATTGCCTGCTATGTGCATGTATATTACTACAGTATATAATTGATGTAACTGGAGGTCAGCACAGTTATTATTTTAACAACCGTTTGTAACTGCACAGTAACAAAATGCAAATTGGATAAGTCTATAATCAGTGAAGGTATTACTCAGTAATACTGTATGATTATGCTCACTGCCTGCAGTGCACAATATTAGGTAACTAAACAACAGTGATGCTAGTCACTTGCAGTTAATTTGATATTTTGTACAATTTACATTACTATCGTTCTTCACTAAGCACCATGCTTACAAGTCCATCCTACAATCAAGTACAGTAGATGATAATCTTAAATATACAATGTGCAAAGTAAATCATGAAAATAACATCATCTAACCTCCCCAAAGGTTTCTTGAAACATTTCAACATCATCTTGTTTAATCTTCAGTCGCTTCATTTACATATGCTGCGGCGTGTCATCACACCATACTGTCCATCAGGCTCTATTGTGTGTCTCTGTGGAAAGGAGTCCAGAAGTGTTGAGGTGTTTAGAAGAGTAAGAATGACTTCATCCAGTCATGAGGAGGCCTCCTGCGTGTACAAGTCTTATACTCATCCAACTTCAGACTGTCAGCAGTAACTCAGCTCAATCTCTAACGGCCCAATCACCACCAGTAACTGATACTTTAACACACCATCACAGATGGACAACCATTTTCCTCTGATGGTACTGTCAGGGTGGAAAGCTCAGATAGAGTTATAATAGTTAAACTGCTGCATTTCAGGTTATAGCCTATGCCACAAATACTTCTAAAATCAACAACATTTAGCAAATCACTGTTTCCTGACTGAAGAGCAATTGAAAAGACAAGGCAGAGTTATATTTGGGCCATGTTTCGAAGTTAAATACCATATCCAACAACTTTTAACAAGTGTCAGACAACAGCTCATGTTACCATTTACCACTACCAAGCAAACAATACCATTAGCGCTTTATTTCCTTCTTCCTTTCGTATAATGTAACGTAGTGGGTAGTATTAGAATTGAGGCTATGTAGCTTGTAATTTAAGCAAGAAAGCAGCCGACTGCTAACATAGCTATCATCTAAGCTGTAAGCCACTTAGCTAGTAAACATTAAACTTAGTTTGAATTAGCTGAATGCTGACATGAACTGTCCTTATAATGACAGCTACTGTAAGATGTCAGGCACTCCAGTTAACAATCAAATGACTTAGCAGAATGCAAGCATTAGTTGTTCTCAGGAGGACAGTTAGCTGCTAGCCACTTTCTAGCAATGATACTATGAGCTAGGAAGTGGCTGTTTGCTAACAACAGATTACCACAGAAGGGCAGCTAATGTTAGCTTACCTTTTAATTGGATGTCCAGAAGGATTCTTACTTGCCTATCCATTGTCTTTGTAATTGCTGATCAATCTGGATTATTTTAAATGACAGTTATTCATCAGAGAGTATACATTCATACAATTTAAAAACGAGAACACAGCAGTACAGTACAACAGCATATAAGCTTTACCCTTTGAGCATTGACAAAGGAAAAGGTCAATGTGTAAATATGGGAAATTGGCTCTGAGATGCATCGTGTGTTACTTTCCATGTTTGACCAAGCTGATGGAATCATTCACATTAAACTGTAAGGGTAAAATGTGTGCTCACAGGCCTAATCAAGCAACATTTAGGAAATATTCATGATCTGGTTTGTTTTTTGCTGGCGCTTTAGTAAAATACAGATTTATCTTCATATAGGATCTCTCATGTCTCAAGACACTGAATGCATTCATGTAAATCAAAGCCCTTTTGCCACAAATAACACAACAATCTGTAAATGCTGAGTGTTCAGACCCACATCAAGTTGAGCTGTGTAAATCCTAACACAAACATTCAAAAGCAGAATGAACTTGCCCGTATTTTCATTAATCCACACAGGATCATAGTCAGCATTTTTAGAGTGAATGACTTCATTAACTAAGACCTGACAGGCTATACTACTTTAATATCCTGTGAGGAGATTATACTGTACACATGGTGTGGTAGATTGTACAAACACTTAAGGGCCAAGTGTTTTATCTCTGAGACTGAGAAGTTCTGTGTTGAATTGCTGGTTGTTGCAGCTGAGAAGCAGCACTTGGTTATCAGTTCTGGTTAGTTGATGGTTATGATCATAGGTGGAGATTCCTGTGCCAGCAGTCTTATTTTTAAAACTTAAAAATCAGAACATATAACAATTGATGTAAGTTGTTATTTGCGCCAGTTGCACTGTGCCATTTTTTTTCAGTGAGGTTCAAATCACTGAGGTTTAAGTCTCATGTACACAAAGCTAAAAATCTAAGAGAACACACACATTAATTAAACTGCCAGATTGAGGTGACCTTGCAAACCTGGAGGAGTGCCGTTTGACAGCAGAGGCAAACAAACAGGAGCAGAAACTGGTGTGCCTGAATAATTGGGGCTTACTTATCCAGAAGTGCTTGTCTTCTATTGTTTCTTTTACTGCTCACATCCTCCCTGATATTCTTCAGAGTGGACCCGGCCTTACCACTGGGTCAGATGACAGCAGAAGAGCCAGAGGAAGGAGAGTTTGAGTTAGGGGAAGATGGAATGTTCCAGAAGAGCCACTTGCGTTTGCATTGCCGTCTCTGGTATAGGTAGTCCTCCTTGTCACGCTCCTTACGTGCTCTTTGGTAGTGGTCATCTTCTTTCAGGTACCACACTGGGGGCCAGCGGTGTTTCTCAAAGTATTCTTGGTTTTCTGCATCAGAAGAAAAAGATTCAGATAATGTATATGCTATGTAGGATTTAACTCCATGAGTTAGTTTTTAATTGTGCATTTTCCCAGAGTGCAAATTTTAATCCAACATGTTTATCACTGTCAATTTCAAAAATATGAGATTAGAAAAAAATGTATATTTCCATTTGTCAATCATTTTGCTAAATAAATACTATAGAATACCTCTTGTGTAAAACTTAAACAGCCTTCATTTCAATCATAAATAACCGTACAGCATATGTGATGTAAAAAATATACTTGCTAAAACATTCATAACAAAAAACAGAGGATCCAATCATCTTTTTTATATTAATTGAAACAATACAATGTAGAAGGCAGAAAGAATTAGAAGAGTTCTATACTTTATAATGACATTAACTATTTTGCTTTGAAGTACTTTAAAAAAATCGAACTCCTCCTGAATATTCTAAATTTTCCTTGAAGCTAAGCGCAAATGGACACACTAGACAGACAAGGCCTCATGACCGATAACAACTGGTTGGTAGACAAGCAGCGTTATATGTTCTGGTTTATACATTGTTGAAAGAGCTTTTAAGATCTGTATAGGATTACCGGCATTTCTCAAATCACTCCCTAAACCATCTCCCTACCTACTTGCACCAATGTCGGCTTACTGAACAGGTGTAACACCTTTTAATATTAGTTATGAGAGACACATTATCAAAATGTAAAAACGGCACACACATCCGAGAAAGTTTAAGTACTGGGTGCTGGACAAAAAACATCCAAAGATTGAAAAAGTACTGAGTCCGCACACCGGAAGCTGCTCCAATTAAACTGAATTTAATGGAAAAATCACATGTAACGTTTCGGGCCCTCACCCTTCATCAGACATGAAAAAGTGAATGGACACACCTCCACATATATACACCCCCCGAGACACATTATCACCCACACTTAAACACCTTTAATTAGATAAGATAGTACCACACAATATCCCAAAAGGTTAAAATTATAATCAGGATCTAATTAACAACTTTCCACTCTCAAAAATGGTGCATGTATTTATTTGACTCTGAAATGTTTCATGTTTACAGGGACTTACAAAAACTAAATATATTACAAACATCTGATTGAAATGATAATATGTCTAAAAAAGAAATGCCACCAAAAATGTAGTGTTTGTATATCATACTGTGAAGTGACTTTAATGAGTCTGCCATAATGTTTTTTTGGGGACAAATTATAATTTGAGTGACATAAAGTCATTGATATATAAAGTTCCTGTTTCCATGGGAGTTAGGGGTGTTTGTCCCAAAGCTTGCTGCTATATGTATCTCCTCCGACCATAACCAAGTGTACTTTATTTAGCTGTGGGCGTGATGTCAAATAGAGTTCACTCCATGCTGGAGTGTGAGTGTGGAGGTAGTGGTTTGAGGAGGGCCCTAACATGTGAGTTTACCTGTAGACTTAGCCTTCATGTCTCGAGGAAACTTTCGACAGACACTGTTGTAGTTGGTGCAGATATGATGCAAACACCAGCCAGTGAGCTGTTGGGCACCATGGAACTGTTGACATAAAAAGTCATTATTTGGCATTTTTGTATTTGTGAACTGTTTTTATACATGACAACTATCTTTGTTTTTAGTTTCATGTGGCTCTAGCTCAATATTTGAACTAAACCTTAATTATAAGGACTAAAGATCTATGTTGGTTTATTCATGGGTAAAAAATTAAATTCTATCTTGACCTTAGTTCAGAGTTCAGGAGCTACCCACATACTTTCTAACATTAGCATATTAGCATTAGCATGTAGTTGCCAACATTAGAATCATATTCTAGTAACTGGCAACAGAATTATTGAGAATTAAGCTAGTACAGCCTAATTGAGATATATGGCTGTGATAAACCTTTCATGGCCCAGGATGCAGGGTTCTTTCACAAAATTTGAGCCTCATTTGACATTGATGGTCTAGAATATAAAATAACCTGAACCACTGAGCTTGGACCCAAATATTCTTGGTTAGCTGACTCGCACTTTGATATACTGTATTTTCAGGCTCCACCTGTTTGGTGTAAAGATCATGACAGCCTCCAAAGCAGTTCAGAAAAGCCCTCTTGACAAATCTTGTCTGCCTAAGCAATATATAATGGCTTTATTTGCCACCTCTATTTAGTGATAGCGGACACAATACCTGGGCCATATCCAAGTACACCAAAACATCTCCATCAATGTCAGCCCCCATCATCGCTGCCTCCGTCAATACTGTTACTGTGTAAAGCTCTGAAAAAGACATAAATGCAAGTCACTGCAGACATCAATTGAGAAACACACACACTGACTTTGTGTCATACACTCCTGTGGTTCAGAAGGTAAAACATATACCAGATGTAATACCTGTTAGTGCAACCAGGTGGGGGAGGCAAAGGCGATTGGCAAGAACAATTAGCTCCATTGCGTCCAGGTCAGGCCGAGAACAAAACCGACCCGTATAGAGATATTCTAGCACGGCCCTCATACAGCTGCGAGTTGTGTTTGGAAAGAGGACCTTAGAAACAGGAACATGTGACACAGTCATTATAAAAGATTGAGGGATTTTCTGTGGTTTGCATTTTTTAACAAAGCAAGAAGAAATCTACCGTCTCCTTTGCATTTTTACGATGTTGTGAAAGTACATGAAGTTAAACTAGTTTTACAAATCGTTTCTGCTTTAGCTTCAGAAACAATGGAAACAATAACATAATAATTTGTTCAATATGTTCAAAGCTGAAAATTGGGCAGGGCATCTAAAACAAGTATTGTAGAGTCATGCCTTTTTATAATTTGAAAGGTATCTTAATCTTAAACTTAGTGTTTCTATCAAGTGTTGTCTTAATGGTATTATTTTCTACTGAGGTATTAAAACAATGTACTGTCCTCAAAGAGATACAGTATGTATAGATCATTAAGGCCAGAGTAATTGCATTACAACAGATTTACCTTATCTCTAATCAAATTATACCTTTTACACTGACCAAATTGTTCAGAGCTCTAGGTCATTACATGAATTTATCTTTGCTGCAATAGTGTGCTTTGTAAGATTTGGAAACCATTAAAGCAACAATATGTAACTTTTTCACCTTGAAATAGTAGTTTCAAAGGTAAGGTTGATTTAGTAGTACAATAACTTTCAACAATGGCATGTAAATTATGATAAAAATGAAATCAGTTGAAGTGTAGTTTGTTGACTTACCTCTTTGGTGCAGCTCTCCACAAAAGGCCCACCAAACATAGCTGCCATCCAGTCACAACTAGAGATGAGTAAAGGCTTATGGGCCATGATGGTCCCATCATCTAGCTTGAATACTACATCTGCAACAGACATGTGATGCACATGTTACACCTCCCTTACACCTGTATCCACTCATTCACAAAAAAAAAAAAAAAAAAAAAATCCTCTCACCAGAAAAGGTGCCTTTTGCCAAGCACTCTTTGACTCTGTTTGTGCGCCGTACATGGAAGGCTTTGGTGATTTCTTGGTTCATGAAGGCTTCATGGTTGAGTATATTTGCAACCATCATCCGCAGGTCAAAGACCTCAAGCAGCTCAGCAATGTGTGCAATGTGCATTAGCTCTTTCTCCTTCTCATCCAGCTGGCCTGTGTACAGGTAGCGCAGCACTGCTCTGAAAGGGCCCAGCTGCATGGACTGGTCCATATGCACTACAGTCATAGGCCTGGGGCTGTATGTGACAGGGTCATCCACCAGCTCCTCCTGGATGCTGACAAAGGCCCGGCTCCATGAGGAGAGCAGTCTGCCCCGTCTGCCCCCCTCAGAGTCTTTTAATGTCCCGTCACTAGTGCAGGCCCTTAGGTTGGCCCTGTCTCCATCGTTGCTGCTTTCGCAAACATCAAAGCTAGCAGCACGCATCAGTAGCTCACGTCCAGAAAGAGGACCACGAAGAGGCCTTTCATGCTCCTCATTTTGTGTGTCCATACTAAAGAGGTCATAAAACTTTGAAGAGGATGTCGCCAAGTATATCTTGTGTGCAAAGATTTTCTGTCGTTCCTGCAGAACCAGGATGACATCAGCACAGTGTGGGTCCTCGAGAAGACCGACTGGATGTTCCTCCGTGGTGGTCGGGGGAGGGGGCACAGTGATTATGGGTGGAGGAGGTTTTGGTGGCAGGAAGGGCGCCTGAAGGAGAGGCCGCTGAACATTTCTGAGGTGAGACTTCCAAAACTGCAGGTGGCGGCGAGAGATGAGCGCAGCCCTGATAGCATTATCAAAGACGTCCTTGACTCCAAATTGAGCCACAACACTGGTTTCATAATATGGCACTCCCAACTCTTTGGCCACCTCCCGGCCTCTTTCTGGAGGAAGGATCTCATTGGATTTAATTGGCCTGAAAAACAAAAGAATAAATCCCAAAAATCATTTTGGCACAAGAAAAACTAAATCAAATTAATCAAACAATCTCTGTTTTTCACATAAAAATGCTTTTTTTCATGCATTTTAATAAAAGGCTTACTACCTAGCTAAAGGCCTCCTTGCCCTGTTCACTGCCTCCAGGTCTGCATAGCGCAGGTCCAGCTGACAGCCCACCAAGATGACAGGAGCACGGGGGCAGAAGTGCTTGATCTCCGGGTACCACATGGTCTTCACATGGTAGAGAGAGTTAGGGTTGGCTATCGAAAAGCACAGTACCACCACATCAGACCTGGGGGTAACAAGAAAGGGAAAATTCAATCAAATCAGGCGGCAGCAGTCATCGTTGACTGATGTTGAAATTTACAATGTCTCACCTGCCGTATGCAAAACGCCGGTCCTTATGATGGTCCCCGAAAGTATCCCAGAGGCGAAGGGAAACACTGACATCATCCACCACATCTCTGGAGCGCTCTAATACCTAATCAGACATTACAAAGGCAGGAATGGTTAGCCAAATGTTGCTGGAAAATCACTAATACATACATGTTTAGAGGTAAATGTGCATGTGAGCCACACTTGGAAAGTTTAGTACTATAATCCTGTTAAAAAATCTTGAATAAATAAAACATGCAGGTAATCTTGAATAAAACACAAGCTTGCAAACTCACCTCCTGGCATACTCTATACTGGTCAATTGCCCAGACTGTGGGCACATGTGTAGCAAGTAACTGGTACTGAGTCAGTGTGGCATTGCAGGCCCGGGCACAGATAAGGCGGGTCTTTCCGACTGCATTGTCTCCCACGACCACACACTTGATAGTTTCAACGTTTGGCCTCTCATAGTCCATATCAGAATCTGTCAGCTGGGACCTGTCGATAGAGGAGGATGCACAGAGAGTTGCATCAGCGCCTGAAATTTGAATCTAATGTCCTGTGCAGCACAGGAACAGGAATCAAAATGGATATTAGACACTGTGACTACTCCTCATCTGCACTGCTCGTTCTGCCTGCAGAGCTATCAATGGAGAGTCTCGTGACTTCCCCGTGCCCATTCACAAGTTCCCTATCCTGCTCCAGATACAGAGAAAAATTTAAAGGGACAAGCAATCAAAAAGGGTTTGGTCTTTTTAAGGGATTTGTCAAGTTTCAAACAGGCCCACTACTCCAAGATATTGGACACTCTTCAACACGTTTATTAATTGTACAGGACATTAGGTTTTGGAACAAAAAAACAGCTTAGTTTATCTGCTACTGTTTTTTAAAGGGTGACAAATCATGTAAATGGTAAATGGACTTGATCTTATATAGCACTTTTCCAGTCTTCTGACTACTCAAAACGCTTTTACACCACATGTCATACCCACCCATTCACACACTGATGGTAGTGATCGCTATGTGGCATCATCCATCAGAAGTAACTAATGCCATTCATACACCGCCACGAAGCAGTGGGAGCAATTCAGGGTTAAGTGTCTTGCCCAAGGACACATCGGACATGTTGCCCAGCTGGGGATCAAAACCTCAACCTTCCGGTTGAGAGGCGACGACTCTACCAACTGAGCCACAGCCGCCCATGTCAAGGTTCCTCTCCAATCCCTCTAAATATCTGCAAGCCTAAAAAACCTTCCCTATATTAAAACACAAAAAGCCTAAAAGCTTAGATTGAATCATCACAAACATCATTCAGAAAAAAAATGACACCTACATTTGGTTACATGGAGGTAATAGGTAAATAGACTATTTTTGTCTCTTGAAAAGGGAAACCGATGACTCAGGTAGCCAGACTGGTTTCCAAGGGAACTGTTACTTGTGTCTTTGTGTGGCATAGCCTTTATGTTACAATCCTTCATTTATCAAACTGATTATGTTCATTTTCTGACAAAAAAAAACCATCAGCACTATATCCAATGAGAATAATAGATTATAATGCTACCATGTGTTGTAGTACAGACTTGTTTTATTTCTAACTTGTGCCATAACAAATTGTGTATTGAAAACCCTGTCAGAGTCCCAGATCCATGATACATGCTCAAACACCAGTCCCAGTATCCCTTGAAAGAGTTACAGTCATGAAAACCTTAGATCAGAATAATGACTGCTATGATTCTCAGAAAGTGCTTCATCCAAATGAATGAGCTCAGACACTTCTGTGGTGTCCCTGGATCTGCTTAGACCTGCTGATGATAGCTGCCCCTCTTTCTTTCAGCATGAGGCTACATGTGGGTCTTTGTAGTATAGCAATGAGTAAGGTCTTTTCTGCTCTTTTGTAACATAACAATGAGTACGGTTTTTTAACCTGCTTTTTGGTAATACTATAACAAATAGTCTTGTACCTGCTTTTCGTAAAGTGTCTTGAGATTTTTTTTGATTTTTGTAATGAATTGGTTTGATTGATGATTGATTGACATTTACTTTACCCTAAACTGCAGCCACATTTTTTGAGTAGGCTATAAAGCATGATATGATGTGCTACAGGAGTAGTGTTAAATTGGAAGCATGCTTTTATTCTCTGCCCAAGAGATTACTACTGAGGGTTACGATGGGTTTTTTTTTTTTTTTTTTTCAAACAGTCACTTGCCATTCATAAAATCAGCCTTTCATTGACTGAACGATCTGCATTCCTATAGGCTCGGTCTCACCTCCGCTGAAGCACTAAAACATGTGACAGTCTGACCTTAGGCTGGGCCTGTATGACACTATAGAGATACAACGCCTTTATTAAAGCTCATTCACATGTCCTTTCCTGTTACAGTCTACACTGCGCAACTCGCCACTTCATTCATCGTTTTTAAACGCTCAGATATCCTGAAAACCCCTCACAACCCCTTCAGACTACCGTACACCATAAATAGCGTGTAAATAAGCATGCATCCTCAGTTATCACCCACAACAAAGATGATAAAATAATGCATTTCCTACCAGAACTACCGAACAGTCCCTCCTCCACCGAGACACTAGTCATGAGGCTCTGCTGCATTACACGTTATGTAACACCCCGTCATTGACTCTTGAGCCTGTTTATCTGCCTCCGTGTGTACCGAAGAAAACATCGAAAAGTGAATAAAAACCATAGTATATCCTTTGTGAGAAATGTCCGTTATCTTACCGCAACATAAGAAAGTGCTGCATGGGGTTGGTCGATGATCGAGACAGAAAGCATGGCACCATCGGATGCGGCTGGCACCTGACGGCGGCTCGTATTTAACTTCATCTTGAAGGCAAGGTGATGCAGGCCTGGAAAAGGGTGGCCGAAAGCCGATGTTTCAGGAAGCGTCCTCCGAATCAGTGCGATTTTCTGATTGCATTGCCAAAAACACGGCCGTCGATCTGAGGTGTGTTTGTCCGCTGCAGGCTGCAGCTCTGACTGTCATGGAACCACCTCCACTTACCGTAAGGCCTCCGCAGCTAATAATAGGCAGGCGCTCAGAGGGGAAAATAACCCATTCATTACAAAACACTGATCCACTTTCAAGGCGCACAAATCTCATTCCACAGCTGCTGAGCAGCCTGCACTAGTCGATATACTGTCACAAACGTTGTTGTTTTGTTTTGTTAGACCTCCTTCTTTTTCTGTCATTTTTAGCAGAATTGGGATTCTATTTTGCACAGTTCACAGTATGTTTATGAAGTGTGTTTGATCAAATTAATCACACATCCCTCATGCATTCAGGCTAGGTTAGATAAAGTGTGCACAGCCTGCTAATCCTGCACAGAGTCAGAAGTGATTAACTCAGGAATGTTTTGTGTACAACATACAGCCTTTGTACACACATAAGGGGTGGCAGAAACATGAATAAAAAATGTCATTCAGCAGCACTATAAAAAAATGAAGAAAAAAATGCATGAGTCATCAGAGCTTTTGAGTTTTATATAAGTAACCAGCTGTTCCCCGGAACTAAATTAACTCTTTGGGCTTCTTAAACTGTTAAATAAGACTGTATGAGTTCCTCTGTTCAAGCTAATCTCTTGACTCATTGACTTCGCAGAGAGAATAATGCACAAATAAATGTGAAACTATAGCTTACTGACAAGTTGTTGTTTTTTTGTTTGTTGTTTCCTGCACATACATGTTTAATAGGTCTAAATTAAAATATGATGTGTATTGAAAAAAGTATGAACCAGAATATCTTGATTACTAAAGCTCCAGCATTGAAATAAGCCTACACTTCCCATAATGCCACAGAGAAAACATCTCTGTAAGCTCCTCCCTGTTGGTACCTTTCCACTGTCTAGTACTGCCATTCTCAAGAAGTTTGTTTAGTTCCCAATGTGAGATAATGTAAGTAGAAGTGATAATGTTTGATTAATAATATATTAACTATATTACCTTTTGCTATATAATCAAATATGAGCTATTAAACCAGCTTATTTCCACAGAGTTCTGGTACCACAAGGCTGTAACATGTTATTCTATCATCAATAAATGATTCTTCTTGTATATAAGATATCATACTGACATTGTCTGGGATAAACAATGCTGTATTTATAGAATGTGGCACCATATTCAATACCAAAAAGCAAATTCAGACTCATTGCTCACTGTGAATCTGTAACTTATGTTTCTGATCAACCTAAACTACTTGGTGTCTGTAAGATTTTCCATTTGGCCTCCTAATCACACATAAGCCATGATTAAGAAAATGACTTGTTGTTGTTACAGTGGTGACACATGCAGTCAGCTTAGTTTATGTTGAGCTCTCTCAGCAATGCAATGACTGGTGTGACAACTCAAAATGCAAACAAAGATGTTTAATCTCTGACAAATAAAAGGCTACCCACTACTCACAGGTACTGACAGGTGACAGCCATGTGCACAGATGCTGGTGCTGGGAAATAGAGTTTATTGCTGATCCAGTTAGTTTATGTTACTTTCTCCAACTGGTAAACATTTGATGTTGTTCAGAGAACTATGTAGGCTACATCCATGAGAAACTGATACCTCATTTCCTGTTTTATCTCCGACCTCTGCAGAACTACACCTTTCAGACAACTCAGTCTAACAATGCATCTCTATGTTTGCACATCTTAACTGGAGGATCAGGAGTATCAAATTACAGTTGGCCTTTATGCATCCAAATATCTGCCGTACAAATGCCAGCGCTGCACTGCACATACTTTTTAAAGACAGTTACACTTATTCACTAGTTGAAAAAGATAACAATGTTTTTGCCCTTTTCTGTTTCACTTCATAACTAGAGAGGTAAGTTGACACAACATGTCAGCTTATTAACATTATACCAACCAGGTCACACAATGAAAAGCATGTATGGTGTCTTTTTCATAGTGGTGTTTTTCTGGAGGACTTAGTGATACAGATTCACTCTTTACTTTCCCACATGTATAGCCTGTTTACTGCGGCTGCAATGTTCAACCTAATCCACCAGGTGAGGCTGACAGTCTACATTTCCATAATCCACTTAATTTCTGAGCCAAACAATGGACAAATAAAACAAGTGTAGAGAACAAGTGCAGTGTTCTTGTCCTAAATGAAAATATGTGGAAACTAGTATTTAATGTATTTACATGTACAATATATAAACAAGATAAGACACATAATCATGCTGTAGAGGAATATCTTTGCCTAAATATGAATTAGACATTCAAATAAGTCAAAAATAATGAATAAACGTTTAAAATAGATAATAAATAAAACCTTGAATTTTGTGTAAACAAACTGAAAGAGGGAGAGGGGATATAGAGGTTTTGATAACCTTTAGTAATCCTCTGTCACTAGAAATCAATATCTATCAGGGTTTTGGACTTTCATAAACTTTATAAAGAGCCAGGTTGTTTGCAGTTCTGACCACACATGAAGCAGTAGGCTGAATTTGCCAAATGCAAAATGAATTTACGATTAATAAAATGCTCTAAATTGCTGTAATTATATTGTAATAGAAACAGTATCATTGCACATTTGTACATGCAGGATAAAAATGAAAGAAGCTGTGGAATACAGGTGCAGGTTTGGTTTTCACCATGACATAAAAATCATCAGCCATACAGTAGAAGTGTCATCATGTAAATGTGATGTATACTTAACATATTTAAGAATTATTTAGAAAAGTTGAAAAACATTTCTGCACAACTTCAAAATTGAACAGTTGGTGAAATGCATGTAACAAGCTATATAATGTGCAACGTATCATTTCTTCATTCAGTTGAAAATGAATGTGAACATGGAAATTGTAAATGCCTATATACTTAATGATTCACAAAGGGAAGCTCTGCACACACTACTTTGAATTGTGCAACAGTAAAAGAAGGATAAATGTTGTGTAAGCAATGACCATTGTTGACGACAGCTTTAAAGTGAACTCTGTGCATGATCAGAGTCCAGGCAGGTCGGGCTCTCATGAACTGTTCAGATAGTTTGATGATTGGTGCTGTCTGTGGCTTTCTTATTCTTCCTCTATGGCTGCAGCTGAGTCAGGCTCCAAATCTCTGTTCTCTCTGGACTCCTACCATGTCTCTGAGGAGCTCGGCTTCATCCTCCCTGATCCTCTGGTAGGTGGAAAACCCCTGTGAATAAGTTTTCTTCTCTTTGAACAGTTTTTACATTTTAACTGAGAAAACAAGCAGCTGTTATGACATCTCTTTACCTTGAGAAACCTACGCCTCTGAAAGGCATTGCAAAACATGAATGTCTTATTTGGGCATACTTAACAAGTTAACTTATTTAAACTGAATATAATCTAAGCTTTCAAATGTAATGAATGCAACTTTTCCTCTTACTGAAGCAGTTATAAAACTGTGAACTCGTGGCTGGAGGAATTGATTGAGGGAAGTTGATATCATGCGCTGTTCCTGTTTGCTTTGTGTGATGAACATGTTCTTACAGCAGCATGTATTCACAAAATGCCCTTTTGTTTAAATCCAGTGCAAACTTAGACAAGATGCATTAAAATAAAAATAATGGAAATACCTTTGGTTGCTGCATCAATTGACTTTAACTTCTGTGCCCTGTTATGTTTCCATTGACATTAATAAGACACTTTCTTATGGTACCCATGTCTCCTTCAAAGGAAGAGCTCCCAGCATTCTACCAGCCATGGTTGGACATTGCTCTCAGAGTCCCAGAGCTGGTGCAGTCTCACAAGTTACGTTACCTCATTAACAAGGTAAGTGGGGACAATAAGCTGTAAAGGACAAACTATATGTTAGTGGAGCCACGGTTCAGTTTTACTCTGTCTGTGCAGATGCCGATGCTAGGCAGCCAGTTTCTACAGAAGCACAAAGAGTTACGTCTGGCCCACCTGGCCCTCAGCATGATGACTATGGGCTACGTGTGGCAAGAAGGAGAGAACAACACAGTTGAGGTATTCAGGTTTTTCTTTTTTTTTTTTCACATTGACTTTCCCTGTCCTTATCTGCTTGATAGCTGTCAGTTTGTCCACAGTGTACAAATTATAGTAATGATGCTTCATCTTCAACAACCTTCCTCTAAGATGCTCCCAAAGAACCTGGCTGTCCCATACTGGGAGGTATCACAGCGCCTAGGACTCCCTCCAATTCTCACCCATGCAGACGCAGCTCTGGCTAACTGGAGGAAGAAAGATCCAGAGGGGTGAGGACAATTGTCTTTTGAATGTTGCCTGTTAAACAAGTGTCGGGTTTACATCTGTTTTTTTTGGTTGTTTTTTTTCATGTTCGTCTTCATGTCCCCCTGCCAGTCCTTTTGACATGGAGTAAGTGCATTTTCACTTTTTATCTAGTCCTCTACACATGATGTATTGCGATATTCGGATGTATGTTAATTTTTTTTTGCTTGTATCATACAGGAACCTGGAGCTGCTAGTCAGCCTCCCTGGTGGAGACAGTGTGCGAGGTTTCTTCATGGTTACTCTGCTGGTGGAGCTGGCTGCTGTCCCTGCACTGAGGGTAAAGATTTATACAAACACCTTGTACTTTTTTTTTTTTTAATTTATTTTATTTTTGGGCATTTTATGCCTTTATTAGAGAGATAGGACAGTGGATAGAGCCGGAAATGAGGGAGAAAGAGACTAGGGAATGGCACAGGTCGGATTCGAGCCCGGGCTGCCCGCTTGGAGGACTACACGCTCTAACCACTGCACCACCAGCACCCCAACATCTTGTACTTTTACTTTTACACCTTACATACATCTTATATAAAATCAACCTGCTGATTAACTGTGCTTCAGTTGTCGACTAAAATCATATAAACTACCTTGAAATGAGAATTAAATGGAGGACATTTGAAAATAAGCGGTTGTAACTGGACTTGTGTTGCAGAACATTCCCACAGTGATCAACGGTGTCAGGTGTGGTGACACTGAGGCTGTGGCCAGAGCCCTGGAGGGCATCAGCCAGTCTATACAGGACATGACAGACACATTCAAACTGATGCATGGTAATAAATCAAACCTAACTTAAAGTAT